GCCTTCCTCTCATGGGCAACCTCACATCCCTCCTCCCAAGGCACCGTCAGCTCAACTAGGATTATTTTCTTGCCCTCTGTTGACCACAAGACAATGTCTGGACGGAGGGCTGTGAGCACCACCCCTGGGAATTGCAGCCTTTTTCCCACGTCCACCCTCATCTCCCAGGACCTGGCGTTTTGAAGGAGATTGGGTTTTGATGGTTTGGTTAAAACAGGCCTTTCTCCCTCCTTGATGAAGGTGATCGCCCTCTTCAAGCCCATACCGGCAGGCCTTTTCCTGCATCTCTCCTGTTCCAGTATGTCAGCAAGGGACAGTAACACTTTGTCATGACGCCACCTATACCGACCCTGAGTGAGAGCTGTTTTGCATCCTGATAGTATATGTGCCAATGTTCCCTTTTGCCCACATAACTTGCAGTTAGGATCTTCCCTCAGCCCCCATACATGTAAGTGTGCTGGCGAAGGGAGGGTGTCATAGACCGATCGCAGTAGGAAGGAAATTCGGTAGGGCTCCAGCCGCCATAACTCTTGCCAGGAGATCTTGCGCTTGGGAAGGTCCCATTTTGTCCATGCGCCCTGGGACAATATATCAATATATATACAATAACAATATATCGCAATACAAAAATGCAACAATACGTATCGTGGATAGTGACACTATGTATCGTGGATAGTTCCCCCAAAATAAAAATTACTGTGTGAGAAAAAATGTGTCAATACCACATTAAACTACTATATATAATGTATAATAATGCACAGGGGAATATTTGTGGGTCCTGATAATGCCAAATGTCTGATATCTAGTCAGAAAAGGTGCAAGAAGATTCATCTAAAATATTTTCAGCTTCAGAGCCATGAATATTGTATGTCTATGTCACCATTGTCCTTTTGTTACAAGCACCAATTCCAAACATATTCATTTAAAGGACAACTCCGGTGCAAAATGAACCTTTGGTCTAATTACACATTGGTACCTAGTCAACCGTTATCTGAGATTTGTTTTCATGATTGCCGAATGTAAATAGTTTTATCTCTAAAAACAGTTTAGCCTATAACGCTAGTATAATGCTAGTATATAGGGCATAGACTCTAGAGTAATAATGACAAATAAAAATCGCTTGTTATTACCACTAACAAGGCTCAAAATAGCCCCATACTAACACGGTAGCATAATAAGGGTCCCTACATTCAAACCGAAGCATTGAGAACTTTGTCAGTGTCCAAACAGTTTAATAAGAAGATATTTTATACACACAGTCAACTTCGCGAATACAGGAAATAGCCATCTTTGAAAAATAGTCTCTACCAGTCGATCTACGAACGCCGATCCAAGTGCGCTGAACGTGTGCAGAATCTCATCTGGTCCGTTGTTTCCGGAAGAAACACAAACACGAACCGTTTTCTTCCCTTCAATGTGTACACGTAGCCTACTGTTCACAGGGCTGCCAACTCTCACGCATTGAGCGTGAGACTCACGCAATTGAGTCAATTCTCACGCTCTCATGCCACACCTCCGATTTTACACGCTAAAGTGTCAAGCCAGTCGGTAAAATACCTGAAAGACAAGTTTATCTATAAATCCACCAGTTGAGCCACTCGTGATCGACTAGTTTTACCACAAATTAGTTAAAATATCCTCTAATCTAGTCTAGAGCGATCATGCATGCGAGACAGATGTTGAGCTGCTAACGGCGCGGACGCAAAACCAGGACTGGAGTCAAAGACAATTCCTCTCTGCACTCTAAGCGTTCTGTTATCACTCTGATAACATCCACTACGGGTTTTTCCAGTCTCACTCACAGGAAAAACTGCTCCGTGTTCGCGTGAGCAAAGTGCACACGTTTCTCGTAAAAACACCCAGCACAAACAGAATGCCTATTCTTAAAGTCTTGTGCTGCTTTATGAAGGCAAAAAGCCATATCATGGTTTCGTTTTTTAGTTCATTGGCAAAATATAGAGACCTTACATCTCATGTTCGGCAAAAGGCAGATTCGAACTCGGGTCCAAGCAGTCAAATGCTCTTTCACAAACTACAGGCTCTACGATCTACGCCACTGCAGCTGTTCTGTGACGGGCGTGTTTTTGATATAAAGACAGGCACGAAAGGCGGCTTTAGTGCAAATATAGCCTATGCGCACCGATACCCAAAGTCCACCTCCCCCCCCCGCGCGATAAGTATCACGCCAAGCTAAACTCAAAAGTTGGCAGCTCTGTGTTCACGCTCACCTTATCACCTTGTTCACATCTCACCAGCGCACTTGGATCGGTGTTCGTAGATCGACTGGTAGAGACTATTTTTCAAAGATGGCTTCTTCCTGTATTCGCGAAGTTGACTATGTATAAAATATCTTCTTATTAAACTGTATGGACACTGACAAAGTTCTCAATGCTTCGGTTTGAATGTAGGGACCCTTATTATGCTGTCGTGTTACTGTGGGGCTATTTTGAGCCTTGTTAGTGTTACTTATTTGTCATTACTCTATGCCCTATATACTAGCGGTATAGGCTAAACTGTTTTCAGAGATAAAACTATTTACATTCGGCAATCATGAAAACAAATCTCAGATAACGGTTGACTAGGTACCAATGTATAATTAGACCAAAGGTTCATTTTGCGCCGGAGTTCTCCTTTAAACCTACAATGTAATGTCAAATTTAGCATTTTAATCAACAGTACATTTACCATATGTCTTGGAGTATCGCAATAATATCGTATCGTGAGTTCAGTATCGTGTATCGAATCGTGACATGAGGGTATCGTTACACCCCTACTCATATCTCAAATGATGTTCTTGGAGACTTGAAGTACACAAACCTTCACAGGTAAAGCACCTCCTAAATACATCCACACACACACCGACTTACAGATGCAGGCTGCGGCCAGCAGACGATTGGCTATGTAGGGCGGTATACACGTTGGGAAGATGGGCTGCACCATGTAGTTGGAGAAAGTGATGGCTATCACGGCCTGACTGGTGGGCTCGATGATCAGAAGAGAAGTCCAAAGACGGATGAAAGCCAAAAAGCCCCCAAAGGCCTCTAGGATGTAAGCGTAGCTGGCGCCCGACTTGGAGATGGTGGTCCCAAGCTCAGCATAACAGAGCGCACCGAACACCGAGAAGATCCCACCGACTGTCCATATTACCAGAGATAGCCCGTAGGAGCCGCTATACATCAGTACGCCTTTTGGCGAGACGAAGATCCCGGAGCCGATCATGTTTCCCACGATGAGGCACACACCATTCAGCAGAGATATTTCTTTTTTCAGTTTCATGCACTCCTGCGAGCCGCTTGCCTTCAGGTCACCGTTCGTTACCTCCGCGGACGGCTCTTCTGTGGGAGCAGGACTGTAAGACGCCATTGTTTTAAAAGGCCAGATAGATACAAATAAGACTGTCTAAACCAGTTCTGCAGTCAGTTTTAGGAAGATCTGAAAAGTTCCCAGCTAGTTCTTGAGATCTTGAGGTGACATCTGGGAAAGATAGAAGGAGTGTTCAGTATTTATGCAAACACACACACACATGCATGCACATATATTAATCTCCAAAGAAACGAGGCAATCATAAAGAGCTCACATACACACTCTTGCTTTTCAAACGTACATATGGCTATTACTGATCCATTAGACGTCAGGGCAAATGGCTTTTTAAAGGTGTGTAAACACAGACCCGGAGAAAGACGTCTACATGTAAGTGAAACACCCAGCTTCCTTACTGCGTGAGACAGGATTGTGTCTTACTCAATCGCCATCCCTGACGTGAACATTGATCCACCTGATCGCTATTCAACCAAGTCCAAGTGGAGGGATTTTTAAAAGCCTGTCAAGTCCAATTCAACTCTCTCTCTCACACACACACACACTATTAGTGTGGAGACTTCTCGGTGCGTCAGCATGCTGATGTGTCACATGCTCCTCAAGGTTCAATGGACTCAAAAGAGCTTTGCTCAAAAGCACAAGCTTTGAAACTTCTTCACATGATGAAATTAAAAAATGCACATGTCTAGTTAATTGACAGCTTGTATTCGAAGCTCAAAGTTGAGAGCCATTGATGCTGACTATGATAAACTATACACTGACGAGGCATGATTTTTGGTACAGGTTATCTAATAAGAGTTAATGATGTCATAAAATCTGAGAGGAATAAATGGGAATTTTACACTGCGGAATTCTGGATTCCGTGACTGATTAAATTCTAAAAGAACAAATTTCAAATTTCTAAATCGTTGCAATTGTTCCCACCTTTCACACACTCACTCAGCAGTCATATAAATCTGACGAATTGCCTTGTGTAATGGTTAGGAGGAGGGTCTTATCACAAAAGAAGAAAGTCGCATTCAGGAAAGACAAAAAGAGATAGAGATGATGATTAAAGAGCTGAGCTGAGTGGGTGGACAGTAGGCAATTACTGCACGTGATAATTAAAGAAACCACACCAATGCAAGATCTTCAGGGACTGAGAGCAAGGTTCAGGACATGCTGATAAGAGCTCTGATAAAAAAACAACAACTATAAAACAAAATCACTCAAGGTTACAGCCTAACCCACCGTAGCTTGCCTCAGAGATTAAGAGAAAATGATTTTCCTCAGAAACCAACTGTATAGAAAGTACTCCCAAATATAGCAGAAAAAATAGTATGTGATGGTTTATATTGATAATGCATTCATGTAAGCTTAAATCTTGCCCATATAGAACAATGTACATTTTTATAAATGTGAATCAAAGCTGAAATAATTCTGACCACAGTAACATTAGAGCTGAGCAGAATGGTTTTGGGTTACCTTTTCCTCCAGGTGCTGAACTGGCATGAGGATGCAGATTGTACTGGTGCTTTATCGGCCGATCATTTTCGTAGACAAGATCTAAGTCGAAGTGCAGTTCATGTGTTATTGAGATCTCAGTCTTATGGTCTCTGTCACGGAGACTCGTGCTCGAGGTCTCTTCCGTTCAGCTCGTGCGTTCGAGGCGTTCACAGTAGATTGATGAACTTCTGCTCTCAGTCAAACACTGATGCGTGAGGGGAGGAGAAAAGGGATGGAACACAGCGCGATAAACTACTGAACCATTATGATGAATGGGGAAACAATTGATAAATACCATCGAAACACATCTCGATGTATTCTGTGGTGGAGACATTAAGGTAAGCTATCTGAATATAGTAGAGTTGTTGTGGTTTACTTAAAGTGTTAAAATAGTTTTTGGTACCCTAATTGAAATATGAGTAAGTTAGCCTAATGCAATAAAATGTTAATAAATTAGAAATGTCGCTTTGGCTAATGGAATAAATAAGCTGTATGTTATACGGTAGGCTAGGCTAGCTATAGCCTACATATGAAATATTATTTAGGCCTATATGTATAAGCCAATTTAAAATATTGATAAATACCATAGTAGCCTATAAAAATAACACTAAAAAAAAACACTTATTTACAGAAACTGAATTAAAAAAATACCCTGAGAAATGGATGGATGGATGAATGACTGAATAAATATAAAATGATCTTATAGCCAATTTTAAGCATTTTGGTTTCTGAATGTTGTATTTGCTCATATACCATAAGCTACCTTTTAAAAATGATTATGTAACTCTCAAAATGAGTGCTTGGTTGTAACTGTTTTGAGAGCGGATGTTTGGCCTATTAACGGCACACACCTGTACATGTGTCGCCATCGTGTGGTCAGAATTGGACATTACACCACATCTGTTTTTACGAATTTGCAAAGGAAACAGTTTTCCATTGTTGCTGTTTCATCACCTCCACTTCAGTACTTTTATAACACTTTACAACTTTCTATGTTATTGTTCCATGTAAGACATACACATACATATATATATATATATATATATATATACAGTATATATGATGAATGAATGAGGCATTTATAGTGCTTTCATATGTACTACTGTACACCCAAAGCGCTTTTACAATCATATCAGGGGATCTCACCTCAACCGCCACCAGTGTGCAGCATCCCTATATACATCCTATGTTTATATATATTGTATATATTAATTTATATTAATTTTACTAATTATAAATGAGTACACCCATTTGAAAATTAAGTTATTTATCCATTTCTCAGTGAATATAAGACCAATTTGCTGCATTTTTTACAAAAGTTTTGTTAAACGTATATACAGAAACGAACCACAGTGATCTTAGATGTCATTTGTGGGTCATTATCATGTTGAAAGAGGAGCCAGTAGCATCTTCTCATCTTCCCCACAAGAAAACTACCACCACCAACACCATGCTTTACCATTGGTACCATCAGATTAATCTTTGTCTCATAACTCCAAATTATAGAGTCCCAATAGTCCCTGACAAATTCTAGATGCTTTTTGTGTTCATGGGCTTTAGCGGCAGTGGCTTCCTTGGTGGACGACAGCCATGCATGGCAATCCTCCACAGTGTACATCGCATGGTGTCACTGGAAACACTCACGCCAGTTTGATTTTCTAATGATTTAGCCAACTGTGCTGAACTTGCATGGAGACTTTCTTCAACTTCTGCCATCACAAAACACTTTTGACAAGGTCTGACAAGGCCTGGACGTCTCAGCGAGCTTCCCACAAATCCATCATTTTTGGATACTTTTGCAACAGTAATAGCAACCCAGACCGAAACATAGTGTCAGCCCCGATCCGGGACACATCTAGTACGTGAGATCTGGGCCGACACTATGTTGCTGTCTGGCTTTACTAATTTTCTTATAAACTTGATATTTTTTTGTGCAAAGAAATGATCTTCTATCTCCGGTCTCATGTAACATTTCACTTGGTGCCATTTTGTCAACATTATGGGAGTGGATTTTCTCTCTTGAATACCAATCTTTATTGTCAATTATCCTGTGGCCGTCTGTATGATGATTGATTGATTGATTAGATTAATTTGCTGTTGAAATCCTGTTAATTGCAATTTTACTTGTGGTGTACTCATTTTTGCACCATTATTTTGTTAAAATAGTTCCAATTTTGGCTTTGGTGACTAATTTGATCTTAAAACCATAGAAATTATTTAAGAGCGAGATGGATGTTTTTTCTGAGAAATCTGACATGGAAAGCATGCCAACCTACTGTACCCATACTTGAAATGAACAGTTTTTACCAGAATTTGAGAGAGATCTACAAATCATGTCACTCATCTGTATGATGCATTATCATTTTTACTGTAATTATTACCTCGTCAATACATACTAAAAGAGCCACGTTAGCAGTTGTGCCACCCTGACGTACAAATTGCTGGACAAAAGTGTTTCAGTTATCTCAACAGCTTTAAAATACTGATATTTATAAAATATGAAAGGTTTCAAACCTAAAATGATGCCATAGTATTTAGTTTTAAATTGAAATTATTAAGATGCCATTTGACAGTTGGACATTTGGGGGGGTTTAAGATAACAAAACACAAAATAATATGTACAGTAATATTTAAATACTAAAAAGGAATTCACACTAAATAGGTTTAATTCATTAAAGTGATATACGTATGTCATGAATTTATCAAATTATTTTAAAAGGAAATAGACACTTGGACACAAAAATATGCACATCATGTCACTGGCCCATATATATATATATATATATATATACACTGTATATATACTGTATCTATACAGAATTTAGTTGTACTATCATTTTGATAACTTATGAACCACCTGCACTATTGAGTCTAAATAAAAAGATTTGCATTTAATCCATTAAATAAATTAGCAATCTTTGAACAGCTCATTGAAGTATTATTCATCACTTCAGTTGCTTTTTTGCCTCTTAAGGCACTAGATAATCGCACATTTGGCATTTTCTCTGGACGATTTCCTTATTTTTGATTGAGACATGTCTTTATCCCTTCCTGAATTCATGTGGACAAACTTCTACCACATGCCTTGTTTCTGGCTCATTGTTCGTCTCCCTCTCAACCTCAAAATTTCTCTCCTTGGTTACAGGTTGTCATGGTTTCGAGGGCCTGGCAGAGGCAGGATTAGGAGCCATTTTAGGGACAGCTGGCCGGGTCGGGCTCCACCTCCCCTTCATCCCGCGCAGAGACGCTCATGGGGGGATGAGGGGGGACATTGTGCGAGGATTAGAGCTTCCTGTGTGTCAGCCGCATTACACAGGGGGGGGGGGGGGGTAGAAAGAGAGTGAAAGAGGCAAAGAATGAAAGAGAAAATGAAAGAGCGAGCATATGAAAGAGAGCATGACACAGAGAGCGTGAGGGTGTTTGAGGGGAGGGAGTGAAGTCTGTACAGCTGCACACTCAATCACATTACACAAGTATACGTGTGTGTGAACAAACACACACACAGGCAGCCATCAACATGCACACCACCAAACTGGGGAATTAAACATATTAAAGTAAGCAGACTAAAAGGGGGGGAGGGGATTGCTCAGGAACATAGAAACTTATGGAACAAAAACAAAAAGATGCCTCAGGATGCAAGTGATCGCTTTGTGTTCAATGCAATTAAAATAACGCACAGATTATTTTTTTAAAGTAAAAACAAATCGTGTAACATTCATTCTGACTTTATTTCTCTTTTTGACAAGTTAGGACCACATTACATTCAGGAAATTTACAAAACAAAGCTGGATAGTGTTCAACAGGGCCAACAAAGTTTCAACATTCAAGATAACAGAAAATAATGCAATAATCTTTAGCAATTTTGAGCCGCTTTTGCTCATCTACAGCATTGTGAAAACTGATCTGATTAGCTGTTTTTTTAAACCTAAATAAAGAAGGATGAAGAACAGGCATTGACTGGGACGAAAGTAAATCTGAATCTCTCAGCTTTTCCATTCCATCATTGTTATAAACCTCCCTTGTCAAGAAGAGTTTCAGCAGTTACAGATATAGTGCAGCTATTTAGAGAAACACCTACAAGGTACAGCAGCATGAAAGAAAATACAAACAGGGTACATAAAACAAAAAGCATATTTACATTCAGCTGCACATCAGATGATCAGTTTTGGTATGATCTCACATCCTCTCTCATCTCATATCACACATCTCACGTCCCTTTTTTCCTCAAGTTTTTATTTATTTATTTGTGTATATCCTGGAATTCCAAATTGATTTCTGAAATTGCACTTAGACACATAATTAGTTTGCTTGTCATTTGTTACACACAAATACTGTTTCCAATTTCAGTGCATCCTGATATTTGAAGTCGCAAGTCTTTATCAATATGATTTCATTGTCTTCATGAAAAGGCACTACTATTACATATGTACTGATTCACTACCATTCTACATTACCAAACAATTAAAAACTACCCCTAACCACAAAATTGAAAGAAAAACAAAAAGTTGTCATAGAAATCAGTAAACAAGAATAGTGCTAAAACCTAACTAATCACATTCTTTCAAGCAGTGTCTTCAGTTCTGTCATCTCTGTCAGTACTAGACATTGGATGCTCGGGTAAGGACAGTTTATCTGCACTCTCCTCTGACAAGTTTTTAGCGTCCTCTCCTCTCAGTTTTCGATGGGTCGACTCCTCTGTACGCTCCACAACTTTTCCCTCAGAGGACTGTGAGGATGCAGTACTGGCCAATTGATTCATACTCCCGCTGTGGATTTTCATATGCCCCTGTGAAACACAATAATTAGAAGTCTTGTTTCTCACACAAACAATCACAGGAAGTGATGGATAAAATTAGAGCCAGACCAATATTATCGGCCGATATATCGGAATATCGGATTTTAAAACCCAAAAATATTTGTATCGGTATCGGCCTTCAAAATCCTTTATCGGTCGGGCTCTCAGTGTTGTAGTACTCGAGACTCGGACTCGGTCTCGAGACCATATTTTAATGGTCTTGGTCTTGTCATGGACTCGTGTGCATTTGGATTCGGAATTGATTCGTACTCGAACATTTTTTTTTTAGGACTTATTCCCGAGGCCACTCGAGTTCAATTCAAAATATTTTTGATGATTATTAATGTATGTTAATAAAATATTTCTTTAAATTGATTGACACGCCCAGTGATTGGTGATTTTCTAGTGCACAATTGCGCATGACAAATTGTAATAAAATTACTTTTAAAACCACCTACTATGTGGCCTTTTTACCCTAAACTGATCATATTTTTTAAACTCTAAGTAAATTCAGTAAAACAAAAAAAAAGGATTTCTCTAAGTAAATAAAAGTAAATTAGGTAATCAACCCTCACTGGTCTCGGTCTCGACTCGGACTCGACCGTCTCTGGTCTCGGACTCGATTTGGACTCGACTCTCTATGGACTCGGTCTTGACTCGGACTCGACTCTCTCTGGTCTCGGTCTCGACTCGGACTCGAGTGAGGTGGTCTCGACTACAACACTGCGGGCTCTAGATAAAATGTTATCTAACAAAAATACTGTACACATTAATTCTGTACCTTCAATCCACTGCGGCTGGCGTACTCTTTTCCACACTCTGCGCAGCTGTAAGGTTTCTCAGAACGCTGCGGTAGTGGATGGGCCACAGGGGTCTCTGGTGATGTAATTTCAGTCTTTTCTCTATCTTTCCTTTGATCCTCTTCTGCAGACTCGTCCATTTTGGATTCTAGCGCATCCTCAGCTTTCAGCTTCTGCACTACGGCTTTGTCAGGCGTTTTAGAGTGCAAAGAAGCATTCTCTGTGGCTGGCTGAGAGTCACCATCATTGGGCTCAAGAACATGGTCTATTCCATTCACATGAAGTGTTGTCTGCTCGCTGCTTTGGTCTGATTTTAACTCCGTGGACAACCCTGGGCTCGAGGGTGGAGTCAGGGTAGGTGACAGATCGAGAGCTTCAGAGCTTAAACTAGGTTTTGGTCCACTGATCACCGTGTGAAGTGAAGCCCCACTGTGCCTTTTTTTATCAAACACGGTGTCTTGGGAGTTGGTCCTGGTACAGAGGGATAAAGGTGTGTCTTCATCCTCTTCTGCAGAGCCATTGACAACTTGAGACTTGCTGTGATGTACCGCGCCATATTGTTTCTCATCTGAGGCAATGGAATTGTCCGGGTCCTGCTTCTCCAGGGTGAGGGTTGGACTAGTCTCAGGTGTGTTGTCATAGGGATCTTGATCTGACTCCATGATCTGGTCTACATCACCTGATGTAGCATCTCTTAGGCTAGCACTAGACTCCAGTAAGCTGGCTGAGGAAGACATGCTCATATTGAGAGGAAGAGACTGAAGGGTTGTGGGTAAGGAAACCATTTGACCAGAATCTTCCTCTGACTGCAAGTCCCCGTTACCTTCTGGAGGTAATTGGCCTCCCAGATGCATGCGAATGTGATGCTGCAGTACCACGGCATTGGTAAACTTGCGCTGACAGAGTGGGCAAGAGTTCTGGCCACGTGCATTGGCCGGACGTGCTCTGTGAGTGGCTAGATGAGCCCTTAGACTTCCCTTTGTGGAGAAGGAGCGGCCACAGAGTTTGCAGGGGAATGGACGTTCGCCCAAGTGGGTGGCCTGGTGGAGACGTAACGCCCTTGGGCAGCTGAGGACACGGAGGCACACCCCACACTGATTAGGGACCAAAGAGGAGGCAGTTGACCCTTGTAGCTCTTGGCTAGTCGGCTCACTGCTGGGGTTCAGCCCTAAGGCCGCCATCATCTCCCTCCTGTAAGCTGAGATAGCATTAGTTGTAGATATGTCATTAGCCTGAGTATTGCTGTTCACCTGGCCATCATTGGTGCTTTTTGGGAGAGGCTGCTTCTCTAACTTCTGCGCCAATCTCTGCAGCTTGGAGGTGTCTGAGGTGACCGAGGATGATGATGGAGAGGAGGATGGAGAAGAGGAGTTTTGGGGTTTGGGGTAAGAGGAGAAAGGGAAGGTAAGTGGGAGGTGAGGGGAGGAAAGGTGAGGAGGGCGAAGAAGGGCAAGGCTAGGATGGTGGGCAGATGGACCTGATGGGAAGAGTATCTTCGGAAGATGTGCCAGCTGGGAATATGGAGAACCAGGATGTAAGGTGGAGTGTGGTGGTGTATTCTCATCAAACCTCTGCTGCTTCGCACCTTTGAATTGACTGTTCATGGCAGAGGAGGTGATGGATGAGGATGACGACTGCACACTAGTGGAAACGGAGGCTGCGGCTGCAGCCGAGGCACGGTTTAGCTGTAACAAAGAGTGGGCGGTGGAAAGCAGGGCCAGATCAACACTGGGTGGCAATGGTAGGGAGGAGGGAGATGGATGAGATGACCCAGAAAGGAAACCCAAGGCTAAACTGTCTGGCACACCTATACTACCCTTAACTCCAAATGGCTCCTCATCCTCAGCTCGACGTTTTCTGCGCCTCTGTGATGTCCCTGAGCCAGATCCTGATTGGCTTTGCTCAGACAGAGCAGGTGGTAAGAGTGAAAGTGACAGCTCGGGATTTTGTTCACGGTGACGAAGGAAGTGGGCTTTGAGGTTGCCGCGGGTAGTGAAGCGACTGAGGCAGACTGGACACTGGTACGGGCGCTCGCCGGTGTGGGATCTCAGATGGATTTGTAGGGAAGAGTCACTGCTCAGAACCTTCCCACAGAAACGGCAGACGTGCTGTTGGCGGCTTGAAGAGGAGCTTGAAGATCCATTTGACGTACTAACCGCGGAACTGAGAGATAGGTGGTCCTGGGAGAGGCTGACCGTGGGCAAGGGCGGAGTTGGGAAATTCACACCATTTCCGTGACTGATTGAGGTGTTGGGAGACTTTTCATTGAGGTAACGAGGTGGAAGTCCAAGAGTTAGAGAGAGAGGGTGCATAGAGGCTGAAGAGGTGAACAAGGATGAGGAAGATGTTGAAGATGAAGTTGTGGAATAAGGAGCTCTGGTTCCATTAGTGTGAGATAGGTTGGGCTTAGATGTAGGAGCTTGGGGAATTAAAGAGACACCAGAGACAGTATTAGGTGGGGAGCTAGAGCCTGCCTCTCTCTGTTGAGTCTCTACAGATCCCTGAGGTGCATCTTGGGCACTGACCATACCACCTAGACGCAGCACCTGTCTGCAGATCTCTTCGGTAATCTGCATTTGGTGAATCTGTCTTTGCTGCAGGACCCTAAGCTCCTCCAATAGTACAGCGAGGGTCGGAGGCACCTGGAGTTGCTCTGAAGGCGACGAAGGAGTTTGGTGGATGGGACTAGGGCTTCCTTGATGCGGTGGGGCACCCAGCGATGATGAAGAGGATAGAGAGGAGGAAGAGGAGGTAGTGGTGGTTGCAGAAATACCCATTGGTGGGGACGTCACAGTGGGCAGAGGCTGATGAGACGACATATGAATGGATTTCTGCTGGCCAGGAGGAGGAGAGTGGGTCTGGGAGGACAGAGAAGGGTGTGGGAAGTCCGGAGAGAGGGATGAGTGGGCATTAGGCAGTGATGTGGAATATGAGGAAATGTGATTTGGCCAGTGGGGAGGAGATGAGCTCTCGTTGGGCAGCGAGGGAGCATGAATGCCACCAGGAGACGGTCTTGGGGCCAAAGGAGGCTGACAGTCCTGAAGGGATGTAGGCGAGGAAGAGGAAGATGATGAGGTAGCTTCAGAGGCAAGAGAGGTGGATGGAGATTTCACTGGAAGCTGGTCATCTGGAAAATAGAGAAAATAAGGAATACGTTTTCAGACAATAATTATGTTGCTATACCCTTGTTGCTCTATTTAGCTTCTATAGAAATTACAATTGAGTTCTATAATAGTAAGTTATGAGAAAGCCTTCATAATATAGGCCAACTCCTTTGTCAACAGTTTTCTTTCACAAAACGCTGAATACCACTCCACTCGTCATTTCGCATTCTTAATGATCTTTCACCCTTAAATCACAGCATTCATATACCACACTCACATCTTCTGTCCTCACTATTGCCACAACTCACCAGCCACCTTGCAGCTATTGCAACGCTTTTTAAAAAGACAATAGATATCACCCCAACAACCCACAACCCCTCTTAACCCAACCCTCTGTCCATCAACTACATCTTTCATCTCTCTATTCACCCTTCCCCCCTGACCCTACACAGGGTCAGAGGTTATGGCATAGAAAGGGTTTTGGGCACTGTCCATGTGCTCTGATTGGCTAGATGACCTAACCTCATGAGCTCTAAGGTCAAATTCTTTTAGAATCTTGAGCGGAGAAAAAGAACCAGAAGGAGGGGGTTGGGAAAATAGTGGGTTGACTGACAGACAAACTATTTTCACTCTCTGTGGCACACGGATATACTAAATGACTGTACACAGACCTGTGGAATCAAATCTACTGAAATGCCAAAACATTTTAAAACCCTGAGAAATTCCCTCACAACATCTTGCCAAAAGCTATAGAAATCAAATCACGAAAGTGCTGTATCTCTAAGATTCCTAAGCTAACTTTTTTCCTTCCATGCATGCATGCATGCAACAGTGCATTCTTTCTCCTCTCTGTATTCTAACAGTGGAACCCCCAACTGAGCAGAGGTACAAAGTGAATAGAGGCAAGGGAGTGGGAAGGGGGGGAACACAGTGGAAGCAGAAAAGAGGAGCACATGGAAACATGAGAGAGAGAATAAGGGAGAAGAGGACAGAATAGAGTGAGAAGAGATTAATCTTTACCCAAACACCCCCTTCATCCCCTCCCCCTTGCCTGCACCTTATTCACACTGAATAAAAGACTGCTCTAGATGCATAAAAGACCCCCAGCAATCAAACTGACTAGGCTGCAAGTCTCTTGGTGGATTGACATTACTGAAAAGCTAACGCAGTTATGGCCCCTGAGTGATTCATGTCAACATAATGATTGCCCATAGGGCTGAACACCTTTAGACCAACCCTGCTCTGGCTATGTCTATAAGAGCCTTCTTTTAATACAAAACATTTGGCAGACATTTTGTAGCGGGAAATGTCAGTAAATTACTTATTTTTTGAAAAGTTCAGTCATGGTAGAAATTTGAGCTATGTGTTGCAGCTCTCAAACAATGGCTCACTGAGTAAAGGGCCAAACGCTCTAGTGCATTTCAACATGTATCCTAACACTTCAGGTGATAAAAGTGCCCAATTTAAGCAATAAAGAAATAATTAGATATAAAATACTATTTGGGTAACAGGTGCTCTATGTAAACTGCAAACAACGTTTTATTAACCTATCGTTTTTAAATCTTAAAGCATAACAATTACTTGATCAAGGGTAACAAATAATTAACAAATGAATGATTTCCTCACCTTGCAGTATCAAGCGCGTGCCCCCGGGGTCTGAGTTAACAAGCTGTTGGGGCCGTTTCTGTTTCCGGCGTGACATGATTCACGAGCAGACGGTGAGAGTTACGGGCATCAAACAACTTTACAAGTTATGTTGTGAATAAATAAATTACGAACCCCTTGTTCGCCAATAATCCACCTGGCAGGACGCGTTAAGACAGCGACGACATCTGTTAAAAAGTAAGTAAAAAGAAAAAAAAAAAAACTTCAAATTCGCGTGGACTGCTGAAGCAGACCGTGACGTCGTCCGCTGTTGCTGTGTGAACTGGCGAGTGCGTGTGTGGCTGTTTTTCCTCAACAAGTCCCCTCTTTCTCAAACTTGTCCACTCTGCGGACCCCCCTCCCCTCCTATCCAAAGACACACACACACACTCACACAAAAATACAATCTCCCCTTGTTCTGACATTTGCATTTCAATGGTGCGGAACACCGTCTCTTTTTCTTTCTCCCTCTTTTGCGTTTCTCTTAATGCTAAAAGCAGCAGCTCTAGTAATTTGGACAACCGAGTTTTATCAATATGCGTCAAGATGAAATTTCCTGACGTTTTATAGGCTTGCTATATACATACACTTGTAGCCTTATTTATGCAAAAAAGTTCATAGCCTTCAAGATTCTGACATCATCTGTCCGTTTTAAAACAACTTAATGACTGCACTTCAGTTAGCGCGCCTATAGAATGAGACACATTTTGTCTAAAATTTATGGGAAATTTAAATAGGCGACATTTGCGAATTTTCTCATTTATAATAAGGTACAATTTAAAAAAAAACTGAAGGCCTAAGGTTATAGCTACCAAAAAAAACAAAAAACAAACATAAAAATAGCTTAATTAGAAAATAGGAAGATTATGCCAGGCTACTGGGGGGAAATACCAAATGAGAAAGTTATGTTAAATAATAATTATTATAATGATGAATAATAATAACTTGAGGGAGATGATGAGGAAGGTGATGGGATGAGGCGGCGGCTTATAGACTATAACTGCACGCGCTCCAGCAGTAAAGACCCCCTGCGGCTCGCTCACTTTGTCGGTGCGTCCGAATATTCGGAGCTCTATTTAAAATGCATTGAATGGGAAGGGAATTTCCAACAATGGCGACCTGGACACAGTTGAGTGGGCATCTCTTTCTCTCTCCTCACCCCCAGGATCCATTGCCGCTCCGCACAATGCCCCCCTTTCACCCCCGCCTCTGTTCCCATACACCACGTGGAGGAGGGATGAAGTGAAAAGCCATTTTTAATTAGATGTATCAAAAACAAGCACCCGACCTGCACCGTATCTCACATAAGGCCAAGCTGTCCACTAACCATATAAAGGTTTGTGGCATAAAATTAACCTTATAAAAAAAATCACAAAAATATTATAGGCCTATAGTAGCTAGAATAGCCTATAGTCTTACTGTAAATTTGGCTGAATTATAGGGTTCTTGGAAGAAAATGAAGAAGAAAATGTTCTTGGTTGGATGGACAAAAAAAAATTCAGTTCAACAATAATTATTTTACGCAGATTTTAAATGAATAAGTATATAAAGGTAATATAAATACGCTTTAGAATCAATAAATTAAGCTATTAAATAAAATGACTACATGTGAGCTTAAATGTTCAAGAATCAATTCTCTCTAACCTATACCTTTATCAACTTTATAAACTTCACAACTTTTACTTGCACTGATATAGCAAGACCTTTTCTTTTGTCCTCTTTCACAAACAGCTTTTTTTTCTTGCTGTGTAAATTTGTTTAAATTCTTAATATTTTAAGACTTTTATTTAATAAGTGATTTACGCTACTAATTTCAATGAGTTTTGAATGAGTGTCACTCTTTCTCAGCATGTGATTGGCTGTTCGCTACTGATGTCACACCTAAACTCCTAGCTGACAGAGAAAGTTGATGATCAGCATCATGGTACCAACAAAGCCTGGTTGGATTGGTTTTGTCAACTCAAAACTAATCCTGCAACCCTGAGTTTGTTCAACTACCATCATGGTACAGGCCCCAGGACCCACATCATGTTTGTCAGGCATTTTGGGAGACACAACAGGTGAATAGGAGAATTAATAAAATCCCATTGTTTTTGTCTATAGCTTACATGTCATTGTATTTTTTGTACTACACTGGACATAGAACACATTAATAAAATAAAAAAAAAAATTCAAAAACTTTTTTCCCACTGGGTCTCAGGAGGATGAAATGACGTTTTTGCTCAGTCGACAGCAACCAATCAGATGAGGCCAATTGCGCTCGCGGCCTCGCGCGGCGATCTACCTGTGACTGTAAACAATGAACAACACAGTAGCAAATTCTCGGTAACTATCATGAGCTTTTAAAACTAACGTTACTCATTTGTGAAGAGCGATATATGTTTATAAAAGTATTAGTTTGATTTAGCGTTTTAGTATCTGAACAGGTATGTGAGAAATACTTTTCCCGCTCTTTGTTGTAATCTTATGTAAACTAAGCGCCCACAGACAAAACCTCATAGATTAGGCTACATTTAAACGCTTAATCATAAAAACCTCATACATATACAAACATTAGGCTACATTTAACCGCTTTTGTCTGTTTTCTTCCATAAGAGCCGCCATGTCTGCATCTAAATACACCTTGCAGTGTAATTCGCCTCAATGCCGGGTAAAGCTGAGTGGGTTCGCGTGGGTCACGGCCTGCTCTCATGTGTTCTGTGATCAACACGGCTCGGAACAGTTCAGTCGAACACCTTCAGTTTGTCCCACTTGCTCCACCATGCTTTCAGGAAAACTAGACGTGCTGAGAACAGAGCTGGCTCCATCAGAACAATACAAGGCTATGATTTTGATCGGACTGCAGCCTGAAACGGTTTTGGAGATCTGTCATAAAGCACTAGTCTTTTGGACCTACCAGGTTTGATGTCTGCATGATTGCAATCACACATACAAAAACAGTGAAGAGTCTTTTTTTGTGTGTAACTAATGTTTGTGGTCATTTTCAGGTAAACCAGGAGAGGTTGCTGATGGAGTACAATATGTCCAGGGCTGGGGGACAAGTGCTCCAAATGGAGAAGTTTATGATCCAGCAGAACAAGAGCAGAGAGCTCGAGTTAAATACATTAAGAGTGGAGATCGCAACACTGAAAAAGGTCTCAAACATGATCATGCTATCAAACCAATGCTGATACTCGCTGTTTATATACAGTACCAGTACAAAAACAGGTTTCCATAATTCCGAATAATAGAAAGGTTACCTAAACTAATTAACTCATTTCATTAAATCAATCATTAAATTGAACAAAAGTATACATTGTTATAAAAAATATATTTCAAATAAATGCTGTTCTTTGAACTTTCTATTCATGAAAAAAATCCTGAAAAGCATACTTCCTCAAAAAAAGTATTAACTGTTTGCATCGTTGATAATAATAATTGTTTCTTAAGCACCATATCATATTAGAATGACCTCTAAAGGATCATGTGACACGGAAGACTGGAGTAAGGATGCTGAAAATTCAGCTTTACCATAATAACTCAGATCAATTACATTAAAATAGTTTAATAGTATTTTACAATATCACTAAGCTTGTTTCCGCCACAGAATAAAAAATAAAAAAGGTAATTGCGACTTTTTATCTTCCAATTCAGACTTTTTTTCTCAGAATTACATTTTTATATCTCGCAATTCTGACTTTATAACATGAAAATGGGAGATATGAAGTTAAAGCAGCACTATGGAGCTTTTTCAACCTTTGTAATATTTTTCCAAAACCCTTGAGATCGACTTCAGGGTTCCTGCGGATCCTTAAATTGGATTTTTAAATTTTTAAGCCATTAAAAGTCTTATTTTTACTTCTTAAGATCTTAAATTTTATCATATTTTATATAATAGCATATCATAACATACATCATCTCAAAGTCACCTAAAGGGCCTTAACTATGCATTGGAGGGTTATATTAATAATTTTATTGTTGAGAAGGTCGATGAAAAGCTCCAGGCAAAAATGTACAGGTCGCAGTGTAAACGTGATAAACTGCATATTGTTGCCATCATGAATCATTCAGCACAGCATTGTTAACATTTGTTATCTCGGTTATATTTACAGATATGTTAATGAAGCTAAGTGACATGATGTACAACGCAGCTAGAAGCTAACGTTAATGTTTTCTAATGTTAGTCTAACGTTACGTTAGATATTTTAAAGATAATGTTCAAATACATTGTTGACTTAACTTAGAACAGATCTAGACATCCTTGTTTAATTTATCCACATTTAGTTGGTGTTGTGGTCTACCGGATAACTTAATCCAGAGCATACACACCGTCATACACACCGTCGCCCAGCCTCTCAGGAACCTAGTGTCGGAGTTACATATACCCCATGCACACTGACCATTTTAAACTTAAAATGACAAAAAAAAAAACGAATAAAAACCGATTAACTGCAATGCATTTCAATGAACGTGGAAGCAGAGAATGTCCGAGTGTATTGGGTTTGAGGGCGTGACTTAGCCATAGGTCAATTCTGACTTTATAACACGCAACTCAAGTCAGAATTGCGAGATATAAATGTAAACGAGATGTATACTCACAATTGAGATAAAAAGTCGCAATTGTCTTTTAAAAAAAGTTTTATTCTGTGGTGGAAACAAGCTTCCAGACTTAAAAGCCATAAATGTTCATTACCAACTTTTACATTCTCCAGGGGCTGGAGGAATACAAGCAGAAGTACAATGAGGTTTTGGAGCGACTGAATGAACGGAACAGGCAATATCAGAAGCTGCAGGGACTTCTCGACTCGCTTCGTATGCACACTCTGGGAATAGGAGAGAAAGATCCCACACCCCACACTTTCACTACAGGTTAGAGGGAAAAAGCAACGGGTAGAAAAACAAGTATAATAGCAATTAGGGCTGGGTATTGACACAAATTTCACAATTCGATTTGATTTTGATTCACAAGCTTGATCATTTTGGATATCAGTTACAATAAATGGGAAATTTTCTCTTAACTAATGCTGTAAACTATGGGAGTCTAGTTGTAGCCTACTAGGCTTCATTAGCCTAATATGAAGGTAATAATTAACTGTTTTGTAGCTATACAAACACTTAAATTACACTTATTTATTTTTATAATAAGAAGATTATATGAAAGTTTAACTGACGTCTTTCCACGGTTGAAATGCTGATTGAGCGAATCAATGTGACATGATATGGATTTTGATAAGTTGTACCCTATCTTTTAACACACTTTCAGATGCTCATTCATGTTTATTTCGCACTGTGACCGGTAATTATTAAGCGCTGCTGCTTCTCTTGAGCTGCGCCAGAGCGATCTCATGCCACAACGCCAAAACATTATTTATGTTTTTGAATTTCTAAAGAAAATGGATGTAATTTGAAATTTGAGACTTTGTTTCATATCAATAGTAACAAAGGACAAAGATTAATGCGAATTTTTTTTTGGATGCGCGCGGCCGCGATACAATGTTCCATTCAGTCAAATGAAACAGGATGACTAATCGATTCTTGAGATTTAAGAATCGATATCGCTTCGTAAAAATGAGAATCGATTAATATTGAGGAATCGATATTTATTACCCAGCCCTAATAGCAATTGTCTACTTTGACACAGTATGAGTCTATTTATTTTGCATTCAAATCAGGTAAAGCGTTCTTTATCCCACTGAGAGTTAAAATGGTTCAAATGTGATAGACGGTTTTAAAGCATAGTATACAAAATGTCTTTGCAATTATTGTCATCAGGGTTGGTCAAACAACACTCTCCCCATAGTCCTTTATTCCTGAGACCAGAAGGTGACAGGTTTTTCTCTTTGGGACCAGACAATTCTCAAAGTTTCTTCCAGTTCAGTTCACCCACCCGTGACAGAACCCACTCTTTCATCAAGAAAAACTGAGGTCACCAGGAGCTGCATCAGCCTTTTTTCCCATTTATGAATTCTGATTCCAGTTCTGACGGCCAAGTATGTTTGTTTCGGTTTAGTTTTTCATGTTATTTATTGATAAAGCTGTTGCTCAGAGTTTGGAGATGGTCGTAAATACTCCCAACATGTTACTTTCTACTAATTTAAATGATTTCAGTGTAGAAAAAAACTCAATTAAAATATATGTGAAAACCCCTCTGTAAATTAGGTTTATTATCTGCAAGCACTGCCAAACTGATGAGAGTGAGACTTAAGAGCACTACTGGGTTTTTTTTATTGTTATTTTCACAACCCAAATATGAAACAGACCACCACACAATCTAATACAATGATCTCCATCAACAGATGAGAGGAAAATTAAAAAAAGGGAAATGATTTGACAAAATATGTACAAAGAGTTTTCCTGTCCTCACAAACAGGAACACAACAAAATATATACAAATGGAAAAAACACTACCCTCATTGCTCTCAATGTTCTCACTGTATGTTCATTCACTCTGTGGTTTGTAAGTAACAAAGGCTGCACTTTGGCTTTTCATCACCTGTTTCTTCCCATTGACTATGAGGAGCAAGGGAGAGTCCACACGTATACTTCGGAAGTCATATGACTGTATAGGGAGAAGCAAACAAGAACCATATTACAAAGACATCAGTAGTTATTACACATAAAATAATGCAAAAACTAAGCACTTTGTAGTTATCACACCTATAGCTGCAAACGTATTTAACCCTCTGATGCTCTTCGGTCGAAAATATTTACATTTTTGAAAAATTTTCTTCATAATGTTACGAAACTTGCTATGTGAACACTACAAAAATGTAATTTAGTACCATAAAATAGTAAACTAATAATATGAAACAATAAACATTTTCAAACTAAAATATAATACATTCATTTAATTGAAATAATCAGCCATGCAAGCAGAACCATTAGCTACATTTTCTAAATCTATACACTACCATTCCAAAGTTTGGGGTTTGTAGGATTGTTTTTTAAGACGAAATTAATGCTTTTATTAAGCAAGTACACATTAAATTGATCAAAAGTGACATTAAAGACTTTTATGTTACAAAAGATTTAAAAAATTTTTTAAAGCTGCTGAACTCTATTCTTTAAAAAATGTTTCCACAAAACTATTAAGCAGCACATTGACATTTAACATTGATTAAAAATAAGAAATATTAAATATCTTAAACACCAAATTAACATATAAGCAATAACTATAAAGATAACTATGTTAGCATTCACACCAATGTACGATAAATTTTGTCATCTGTCCCTTTAAATGCTCAAGCTCTTTAAAGCAGAAAGGATTCTGAATGGCCAGAGTTTTTAACAATCATCAGCTGGAAAAAATCGTTCTGAAAGTGAGTAACGAAAGGGAACAGAGAAATTATATTGTTGGATAGTTGTGGTGTGAACTGATATTCTTTTACATTTAGAATGATTTTTAGAACTATATCGTTATAGTTATCTTCCTTGGTCTGAACAGGCCTATAGAATAATTACTGAAGGACCATGTGACGGTGAGGATGTATATCTGACGGTGTATATCTGACTATAAATGCAGTCATGGTGAGCATAAGAGATTTTACAGACCCCAAACTTTAATCGGTAGAGTAAAAATATAAGTAAAGATATAAAATTTTAAAGTTTGGTACACAAACCTTATCTTTATGTGTTACGCTGTGCCGTTTGACCTGTGGTTCAGGAATGACTACAGTATCACCTATTAAAACACCCCAACTGTCTGCTGTATTGTACACCATGACTAGACAACAGGTCTCCTCACTGTCCACCATGCCAAATGTGCTGCAAGACAACAACAGGAAACCATTTAAACAGTAAAACACTATGCTAAAAGCTAACATTTAAAGTAAGTGATTTCTGAGAGATAGTGAGCCAATCAGCAGTAGGGGGGGCGTGTCCACTCATGATGAGGGAGGAGAGAGAGTGAGACAATCCACAGTAGGGGGCGTGTCCACTCATGATGAGGAAGGAGAGAGAGTGAGCCAATCAGCAAAAGGGGGCGTGTCCACTCATGATAGGGGAGGAGCAAGTGCCCACTCATGATGGGGGAGGAGAGAGAGTGAGCCAATCAGCAGTAGGGGGCGTGTCCATTCATGATGAGCGAGGAGAGAGAGAGAGTGAGCCAATCAGCAAAAGGGGGCGTGTCCCCTCATGATAGAGGAGGAGAGAGAGCCAATCAGCAGTAGGGGGTGTGTCCACTCATGATAGAGGAGGAGAGAGTGAGCCAATCAGCAGTAGCCAAATATCACTGGAAAATAAGGGTTATGATCAGGCAAGAGCTTTAGGACCCGCGTTAATATTAGAAAAGCTTTCCAGCGCTGGAGAGACCGAAGCAGGAAGTCTTGAAAATTGACACAGAGGTTTCGTTGTTTCTGCTTCATACGTGAGTAACATTGGTTTTGATCTATTTGACAGAAGATATGCTGTTGTTGTAATGTGAGCTCGAGTACCAGGACAGTTTTGAGTGTCATTGTTTGTCTGGAGCTGCTGCCGGCGACTAATAACCAACTCTTGCTTGTCTTTACTGTATGTTCATTGTTTGTTCCTCCTTGTTATTCATTTGTAATCTCTGCTTTATTTTTTCACGAAGCATTATTTTGCTTCGCTTCAGACATGATAAAGAGACATCCTCTCTCGTGCATTTTGTGGGCGGAGCAATGAAGGGAGGGATGCGTTTGTTGAGGTTGATTTCTATAATCAACAGTGTTTCTCATAAATCACTTACTGCACCTTTAACTAGGCTATATCCAGTATCTGACTGACTGCTAGCATAGATGTATGCATACATATTGAGAAAAGTTTAGTAAACATTCAGCCGAAGGGATTTAAACTCACAAAGCCATACGGCCCTCTGACATCAGGCTGAACACAACTTTTCCAAGTGCTGCCACCCCGCCGTTGTGGCCGTGAGTGAGGGCGGATAAGATGCGGGGTTCAAGGCTTCCCACGCGGCCCGAGGGAGACCGGAACTGAGGGGAAGAGCACGGGCCCAAGGCGGAGGTACTGAGGGACGAGAGCATGTTACGAAGACGCCGCGCCTTTACTTTTCCCTGAAACACAAAGAGAGAGTGGTTATTGTGATTGCTTGTGGACATCTGGAATATTATTTAACTGTACTCCACTGCCATCTGATGGAAACAACCCAAAACAACCTTTTTGATAAAGATTATAAGGGTGTGTGTGTATATTGCATGGTCACCCAAAACACTACAACGGCTTTGGGGTGTTTCAGTAGCGTGTGTTTAATCAATGTTGTTGGTTTTTTTTTTTTTTTAAGTACAAGGCCAATTAATTTAATCATCATATGCTCAAAGTTAACCTTCAAATGGTCTTCATTTCATTTCTATACGACCCCAACAATTGATTGAGTAATTGTACAAAAAATATACATTTTTAATCATACAAATAATACATCTTTTTTTTTTTGTTTACTTCTCATCTATTCATTAATGCTGTGTTTTTGGAGATATAAAGTACTTTTGTATCCATATACCACACAATTCCTCAACTACACCATTAGCTTGCATATGAAATATTATTTTTTATGATACATTGCAGTTATGCTCTAGTAGTCTAGTACTAGGCCTTCATTTCTGTGTATTTATTTTTTTTTTTTTCAGATTTATACCAGATTTCTTTTTTGACACATGAAGAAAATATATTTAGTTTTTTTTGTTTTGTTTTTTTCACATTTCCCATTCATTTGAATGTGGGGTCATATTGACCCCGAAGACCAGAAGTGTAAACACCTTCAAAACAACCGAATCAAGCCCAGTTTTTTTGTGCGTATAGATAGATAATGTATGAAAAGTCACAAAATCTTATTCCAATGAGATGAAGGGAACCTTTTTTTTATTAAGTAAAAGTCGATTGGGGTCGTATAGACCCCGTGACCCGATTGAGGGCTACGATATTGTGTCAATTTAACAAACTTTTGTAAACCCAGTGATTTAATTCACAAACCATCCAAACTACAATAGTTAGCATATTTAATAACTGCAACGCAAGTAATAGGGTTTACACACAAAATTCAACAGAAACTCCAGAACAATAAACACATTTTGAAACGCTCATGACAGACATCGCTGTCTCTGACAGCTATTGGCCGCCACCTGCCATTTCTCACTCGACGTTTGCATAAAGTTGAGCCTTCCTTTGACTTCTCAACACTTTCTCTGATCCGGCATCAATCCCACAATAGCTCAGCTCCCATAGGAATGAATTGAAAACACCCGATCTGCGTCAGCGTAAATGCACCATAAATGTTACAATGTCGCTGCCAATTTCTCTCACCTTGTTCTCCAATAACATTGTAATCTGGTCTAGGTATTTGAGCAGCTGTTTTTCCCTCTCCTGAGCGTCTTCCCATCCAGGGTCCAGGGCTGCAGCACGACTGTATCCATCCAGAGCTGAACTGAACATCTCCTCATACTGGAACAACTGGGGACAGAAAGGACACGTTGGTTTCATTGGCTTGACTGGTACCCAAAATCAGTGTTTTGTCTGGTAACCAAACTGTATTAACAGGCTTCCATCAGCTAAGAGGCTGAATGAGAAAGCCAGAGAAGAGCAGAAAGCAGGATGATAAAAATGCACAGCATTTATTGAGTAATCTCACTGTGACACATTTGCTGGTGCTCACCTGTGTTTGGGAAAGCATGTGTGAAAGCTACTGAAAGAATTGTTACCGTAGCTCTGTTGAAGTGGAGGTCAGGATTCATTGAGGATGCTTTGTCGATTTTCTCCTGTAAATATGGACAGATCAAATCAAAAGTTGTTGATGTCAGTCAACCACCATATTAATGATTCAGGTTATCAATGAGAGAGATACTCACAGCCTGTGCATAGGCACTGAGGGCCTGTTGAGAGAGCTGTGGCTTCTGTCCACTGGTGAAAAACATGGAGATATATGCGTTCCCTAAAATATCTGTTAGCCAAAGCAAAGCAAAACAATATAAGAATCATTTATTATTATTATTTTCTTGGGCTGTCAAACGATTAATCACATCCAAAATAAGTTTGTGTTTACATAATATATGTGGGTGCTCTGTATATAATTATTTTGTATATATATATATAAATACACACACATGCACGCATGCATATTTCAGAAAAAAATATTATTTATATATAAAATATTTATATATAATATAAATTATATATA